CCCCCCCCCCCCCACTCCCAGGACTGTTGTGACCCCCTACTCCCAGGATGTTGTTGCTTACCTGAGCGTCCCTTTCTCTTGTCACCCTTTCTCTTTGCAGATGACACTAAGCTGTGGGGGGTGTAGTAGATACATCGGAGGTAGGGCTAGGATTGGACCTATGTCACCAGAATGACCTAAACAAATTGGAAGGTTGGACCAAAAGAAATCTCATGAGTTTCATCAAGGACAAGTGCAAAGTCCTGCACTTGGGCCAGAACAATCCCATGCACTGCTACAGTCTGGGGAGTGACTGATTAAGCAGCAGCTCTGCAGAAAAGGTCTTGGGCCTAATGTGGACAATAAACTGGATATGAGTCAGCAGTGTGGTCTTGTTGCCAAGAAGGCTAACAATATACTGGGCTGCATTGGTAGGAGTGGTGCTAGCAGACTGAGGGAAGTAATTATTCCTCTCTGTTCTGCACTGGTGAGGCCACATCTGGTGTATTGTCCAGTTTTGAGCCCCCCACTACAGAAAGGATGGGGACAAGTTGGAGAGAGTCCAGTGGAGGGCAATGAAAATGTTTCAGGTCCTGGGACAAATGACTTCTGAGGAGAGGCTGAGGGAACTGGACTTAGTTGGGAGAAGAGAAGACTGAGCCGGGATTTAATGGCAGCCTTGAACTACCTAAAGGGGGGTTCCAAAAAGGATGGAGCTAGACTGTTCTCAGTAGTGGCAGGTGACAGAACAAGGAGCAATGGTCTTAAGTTGGAGCAAGGGAGGTTTAGGTTAGATATTGGGGAAAAAGTTTCTCACTAGGAGGGTGGTGAAGCACTAGAACAAGTTACCTCGAAATGCGGTGGAATCTCCATCCTTGGAAACTTAAGGCTCAGCTTGACAAAGCCCTGGCTAGGATGATCTAGCTGAGGCTGGCCCTGCTTTGAGCAGGGGGTTGGACTAGATGACCTCCTAAGGTCCCTTCCAGCCCTAATTTTCTGTGATTCTATGATTGTATATCTCAGCAGTTACACCAATATTTAAGACCCTTTCTTAACTAGAGTCCTGAGTGAGGGGGCGTTTGCTAGAGAATTTGCCTGGAAACTCCCTCACCTTCCTTCACTGTATGCTTGGTGAAAGGAAGCAAAGAAAAGGGAACCTTTTGGGACTAAGGTTCCAAACAGACCAGTTTACAGGGGAGTTTGCTAGTGAAGGTCTTTTTGGAAAGGGGCAGGAAGATGTAGGTGGTGGATTATGAGAAAATCCTAGTTTTCTATGATTCTGTGCTTTGTGCTGCTCTGACAGTGGCTATATTCCTCTCTTTCTTTGGCATTTGGAGAAAATGGAGTGCGAGGGGCATGTTTTCATGGCAGTGCTGTCAAGTATATTTGGACAAAGTATAGACATGCCCTTAGTATAAAATAGTGCACTAGTTTTATCATTAGGAAATGGCTTAATTGGCAACATCTTAATTTTATTGGATTTTTTTTTTCCCTTTTCAGGCATATTGTTGACTTTTTTCTTGTGATAACACAACTGGGATTTTGCAGTGTATATATAGTGTTCTTGGCAGAAAATGTGAAACAAGTGAGTAAAACAATTTCTTATTTTCAGCATTACAGGCAACCCCCACTTAAAGCTATTTTGCTATAACGCTCATTTTAAATTGATACCTGATTTCACTTAGCGCTCAGTGAGTTTTGTTATAATGCTTGCAGTTGCCATCTTGAGTCATTAGAAACAATTGCGGTCACCATCTTGGGACATCAATTACTTTTGGTTTCTCTTAATGCTCATTTTTTCAGAAACCAATTAAGAGCACTAAGCAGGGGTTGCCTGTACTTCCTTACCTGCCTGTATATTTTGTGTATGCTATTCACAGAATGCCAAGTTGAGATGCTATACAAAATAAATTTGTTTTCCCTAAAAGGTACTTGGAAAAAGTGATCCATTTGCTTTGTAGATTGAACCAAGTTTTCGTGTAAGTGCTTGCAGCTTCATTGGCCTGTGATTGTATGCCTTAAATTTCAACAGTGTCACAGTTCAACTGTGGTGTATACTTACTTTACACGCAAACAGAATTAGAAAAATAAAGGAATTTCAGCTAAATATTACAATAAGATAGTGGATTTTTCTTGCATAAAATCAGCAATGCAGTGTTAAATATGCTGAAACAGAAACCATATAATCTCTTCAGTAGTCTCTACATATATTATTCCATATCCAGATTATGGGCTCTACTTTACTGTCAAAAGATAGCATTGTTGTTTGTTATTATATTACAGTGATATGCAAAACAGTTCTAGGGAACTTCCCAGGTGCTGTGGATCCATGGTTCCTACCTTCAAGACCAAGGAGTGAATTGTATTTGTGTACCACATGCAAAAACATGTGGACCATCCCCATGCAACTCATCAGGCTACAGGACCAAAAGACTGAGGACTACTGATGTAGACCACAAAGCAGTCTTGCTTCAGGAAGTCTAATTGTTATTGTAGGTTTATTATAGTGTGCTATGATCCTGCCAGCTTCCAAAAACTAGGAAAAGGAAGGCTACCTTATTGCTAGGAAGGGACCCCACAGTAGGACATCTCAGAGGTACAGGTGATGCTCAGCAGATATATTGTCCCTGTTCAGAGATTTTTTGGGACCCTGGGCAAAAAAGATTGGGAGGCCCCTGGTGGGGATCCTCTAGCTTTTCTTTTTTTAATTTTTTTTAATGACAGTTATTTGTGTTCCAAGCCAAATCAGCCTTAGAACACAATTCCAAATACTTGACTGTGAGTCCGTCAAGAAGCATAAGTGGCTCTAATATCAGCAAACATCCTCCACGCCCACGTGGGAATTCAGATGTTTCTAAATCATTTGGCAGGCATCCTACATGCAGGCCCAAACCTGGAGGCTTAGGGTTCAGATGCCCCAAGTTTTACTTGCCCTCAGCTGTATGGCTGCAGGAACAAGCTAGGGAGAAGGATCTTTTTTAAATGAAAAATTCATGTTCCAATCCAAATCAGTTCTAAATCCGTGAGTCAGTCAAGAACCATAAGTGGCCTTACCAGTGGCAAATATTCTCCATCCAATCTGGGGCTTCAGATGTTTCCAAATACTTTGGCAGGCATCCTATATGCAGGTCAAAGCCCAGAGATGTGGGGTTTAGATGACCCCGAGTTTCACTTGCCCTCAGCCCTAAGGCCACAGGAAGAAGCTAGGGAGGAGTCCCTTATTTCCATAAAGTGGGCATAAAGCCAAGATCTTACCACTCGAGCAGCAAGTGGGAGGTTTACCTTACCTCTGTGGGTATTACCCCATGCCAGAAATGTGCAACTAGGAAAACTGCCCTGATGGTCATGGGTTTTTCTTTGGGGGGAGGGGGAAGGGGGAAAAAACCAAAACAAAACATATATATCATACCACAGAGAAAAAACCATAACCTGTTGCAATATCTGAACCCATACAAAGGCCCTCTGGCCACCCGAAATGGTTATAGTATCTGTGCCCGCATGCCACATACAGAGAAATGCTGGACAAGGCAACCCATTCCCTTCATTCCCACCCCGCTTGCAGGGTCACAGACTCAGTTTACCTGTTATCCCTGTCACTGTTGCTCCAGGTCCCACTGGAGGACTCGCTGCTGCTGTCACTGTCACTATCCTCAGTTCCGTTTGTCTCTTCCTCTTCCTCACTGTCACAGCACACTTCCCTGCTAGGGGGGAGTTTGGAGGATCCTGTGCCAAGTGTCTCTGTGCCAGGTGGCTTTGGCCATGTCCTCTCCATCCTCTACTACTGATTTCTGGTAATAGGTCTGGGGTTCTCTCAGCCATTTTCACACAGTCTACCACCTTTACATCCATGTGACTACAGCAGGAGCTTTCTGGCTTTCCGCAGGGCACTCCTGACACAGGCTGCCAACTGGTTGAAATGGCTGAAGGGCTCTCCTGGTGCTTGCCGAGGTGCCTGTACAGTGTTGCTTCTCTGGTCAACTAGATACTGCTTTGCAGAGCTACTTCACCCTGTTCCATACCTCCTTGGCACAGGTACAGAGCCAGAGGAGGTGGTCAATTGGCTTGTTGGCTCCGTGGCAGTTGAGCCACAGGCAGCTAGGTCTTCCCAGCTGTCCCTCTCTAGACCTCCGGACCCTCACTGTCAGGGCTTGGTGGGCTATCAGCCAGTTCAGATTGCTGTGATCTTTGCATAGGTCCTTGCGGTTGATGTGCTTCCACATGGTCTGGCAAGTGTCACATGATGTCCCTCAGCCTCCCTGGCTTCTGGATCTTCTTGTGATTGCCCGTGGTCACAGGGACTGCGCTCCGCAGGCCATACATACTGCAGAACTGGTTAAGGATCTCATAGAACCACGGTGAGCCCATGATCCATGGTCTGTGGTTGAGCCTATGATCCATGGTCTGTGGTCCCCTCTTTGCTCATGGGACATTGGAATATCCTGTGCCACTTGTCTCTGTGCTAAGTGACTTTGGTTGCATTCTCTCCATCCTTCGCTACCAATTTCTGGTAATCGGTCCAGAGCTCACTCAGAGCCATTTTCATGCAGTCTACTACCTCTGCATCCATTTGCCTGTACAACAGGAGGTTCCTGGCCTTCTATATGGCACTCCTGATACAAGATGCAAACTGGTTGAAATGGGCTGATGGGCTCCCCTAGTATTCTGGTGATATCCAATATTCACAAATGCATGCAACACACCCAAAACAACATCAGTCCATTCTGGTGCCTCGGACCAGCCCTTCCTTCATGTCCACCCTAGCCCCGCTCCGGGGTCACATACTCAGTTCAAGTTGTCTCTCCGTCATTGCCACTTTAGCTTCTGCTGGAGGACTCACTACTGCTGCTGCTGTTGCTGTCCTCTGTTCCACTTGTCTGTCCCTCTTCTCTGCTGCCTTTGCTCCCTTCTTCACTCGGGGGTAGGGTGGGGAGGGGGGGGTGTTGTATGGTCCTGTACCACGTGGCATTTTGCTGTGTCTTCTCTGTTCTCTGCTACTGATTTCTGGTAGTAGGTCTGGAGTTCACTCAGTGCCATCTTCACGCAGCCCCCTACTTCTGTGTCCATTTGTCTGTACAGCAGAAGGTTCCTGGCCTTCCACAAGGCTCTCATGATGCAGAACCCAAACTGGTCGAAACAGTGTGATGGGCTCCTCTAGTGCTTGGTAAGGTGCCCATACAGTACGGCTATGCTCACCATTTTCCATACCTCTTGGCACAGGTGCAGAGCCACATAACTGGGTCTCCCCAACTGTCCCTCTCTGTGTTTCTGGACTCCCACTGGTAGGGCTCAGTGGGCTATGAGGCAGTTCAAGCCCTATAGCCCTTTTTTTACAAAAAAAACAAACAAAAAATATATATATTTCTCTCTCTATATATGGTTATATATATTTAAACCGATTCTGTTACAGAAAAAAACCCCGCACCTGTACAAAGGCCGGCTGTCCGCCCATACCTATTCCAATATCTGCAAACCACACGCAAAATACACCCAGTCCTTTCTGGTCTCTCCGACCAGCCCTCCCTTCACATCTGCTCGTTCCCTGTTTAGGGGTCAGGTACTCGGCTCAGCTGGTTTCTTCGTCATTGTCACACCAGCTTCCGCTAGAGGACCTGCTGCTGTTGTTGTCGTTGTTGCTGTCCTCCGTCCCACTCGTCTGGTCCTCTTCTCTGCTGCTGTCTCTTTCTCCTTTCCTCAGCGGGGGTTGTATGGTCCTGTACCACGTGTCCCTGTGCCAGGTGGTGTTCACTGCGTCTTCTCCATCCTCTGCTACCAATTTCTGATGGTAGGTTCGGAGTTCACTCAGAGCCATCTTCATGCAGCCCACTACCTCTACGTCTGTTTGTCTGTAGAGGAGCAGGTTCCTGGCCTTCCACACAGTGCTCCTGACACAGGATATAAATTGGTCAAATTGGAGCAAGGGGCTCCCCTGATTTTTGGTGAGGTGCTCGTACAGCGCAGCCCTATAGCACTTATTATTTTTTTTTTTTTGTAAAAATATTTCTCTCTCTGTATACGTTTATATGCATCTAACCGATCGTGTTACAGAAAAGAAACCCGCACCTGTACAAAAGCCTGCTGGCCACCCGTACCGGTTACAGTTTCCATAAACCGCGCACAAACCACACAAAATACACCCAGTCCTTTCTGAACCACACAAAATACACCCAGTCCTTTCTGGTTTCTCTGACCAGCCCTCCCTTCATGTCCTCTCGTGCCCTGTTTCTGGGGTCAGGTACTTGGCTCAACTGGTCTTTTTATTGTTGTCAGTCCAGCTTCCACTGGAGGACCCGCTGCTGTTGTCACTGTTGCTGTCCTCTGTCCCACTCGTCTGGTCCACTTCTCCACTACCAGTGCTCTCTTCTTTCCTCTGTAGGGGTTGTACAGTCCTGTGCCAGATATTGTTCACTACATCTTCTCCAGCCTCTACTATCAATTTCTGATGCTAGGTCAAGATTGCGCTCCTCAGCATCTTCATGTAGCACTTCTTCTAGCTTTTACCAAAGTCACTTGTCATTGCATTTTTGGCAGGGAAGTGTGAGACCTGGTTCCCACTCACTGACTGACAGATCATGGTGAGCAATGTGG